CACGAGCTGTGAGATCATGACCCGGGCCGAAGTCAGACGCCCAACTGACTGAGCCACCCAGGCGCCCCTTGAGTTTACATTTTCTTGAGGAGGACCAAAGAAAACAATGTAAATGAGTGAAATATAAAACCTATTAAATAATGAGTATAAATATTTTTTAAAAAGTCGGTAGAGGGAAGGGTTGAAATCTTAGGGTGGTTGAGGGAAGCTGTCACCAAGAAAGCAATATTTGAATTCAAATGTGAACAAAGTGGGGAAGGGAGTTCTGCAGGTAAACGGGGAAGGAGCATTTCAGGCGGAGGGAAGAGCAAAGCAAAGGCCCCGAGGGGGAGCACAGTGGGCTCAGCTGGGGCCAGAGTGCTTGGGGTGCAGAGAAGAGAAGGGAGAGGGGTAGCAGGAGCTGCTTCATGCAAGCCTTAGGAGCTCCTGCTAATGGCACTGGCCTTTGCTCTGAATAAGTGGGCAGTGTCAGAGGAATGATGTGACCTGACTTAAATTTTAAAAGAATCACTCTGGCTTCTGTGTCAAGATGAAGCGTAGTTGGTCAAAGGCAGAAGCTTGGGAGTCCGGTTAGGAGGCTTGTCCAGTCATGCGGCTGAGAGATGGTGACGGCTTAGAGGGAGGTGGGGTGGCGGGAAGACGGTTTGCAGGGCTCTGTTTATGGACATGTTTCGAAGGTACATCTGCTGGGATTTGTTGACAAAGCAAGTGTGGGGGGTGTGTGTGTGAGAGAGAGAGAGGGGACTTAGAGACGAAAGCTTTAGGCTCGAGCTTTGGGGGAACACCACAGGAAGAACTACTATGGGGTGTGTTGCTTATCAGGAGCTGAGTTGTGGACATGTTAATTCTGAGATGCCTGCCAGACACCAAGTGGAGGTGTCATGTAGGCCAGCGGGTATAGAAGTTTAGACTTGAAGGGAAAGGTCCAGGTGAGATGTAAATTTGGACTAGTATCTAAAGCCATGAGCCTGGCTAAGATCACCAAGAGAATGAATGCACATGGGAAAGAGGTCTAAGGACTGTGCCTTGGGGTCTGCCAACCTTTAGAAGTGAAGGACACGGAGAGGAGCCAGCAAAAGAAATTCAAGCTGTGGCCAGGAAGGCAGGAGGAGCTGCAGGTGTGGAAGGTGTCCTTTAAGCCACGTAGAGTGTTCAAGGAGGGAGTGGCCAGCTGTGTTGGTGTCCAAATGTTATTGGCAGGCGAAGCAAGAGAAGAACGAAGGAATGACCATTGAATTTTGCAACACGGGAGGCACCGATCACCTTCGAAAGACCAGTCGGAGTAGCTGCCAGCGGAAGCCTCCCTTTAGTTGGTAGTATCCCTTTAGTTGGTGGATTTAGTGGGGAGGTCCAGGGCGTACCAAGGGATGGTCCAGCAGGCCGGGGCAGTGCTGGGCAGGTGGAGAGGGGGGTAACTGTTTACAAACTGGAATGGACATATCTCAATAGTTCAACAATGGTACAGTCCTAACTGTGCATATTAGCTGAATATCAGCCCTGGAGACCTCGTATTATTTCTGTTTCATACAAACGTTAATGTCCACACTTGGATTTCTCTGCAACGTTTCAGGGCAGGTATGTAAAGCCACTTCAGGCTAACTGAAGCAGACAAACAGATCCGTCACCTCATCTCCCTGGAGACCAACAAAGGTCTGGCTCCAGGCAAGGCTGGATCTCTGGACTCAATAAACCCCACCCACTGTAGCCGTGTATTTCATAGGGAGGATTTCCCTTGAGTTGACTCGGTTCTTGGCAGGCTGTCCAAGCATAATGGCATCAATGTCCCAGTAGCTCCAGGCTGACAGTCAGTAAGCTAGAAATTCTACCATATGGGGAGTGCTCTGTCCCAGTAATTCTAGCAAAAATCTCAAAAATAAGTTTCATTTGCCAAAGTTAGGTTAGTGCCCATCCCAGAACTAATCAAGTGCTTTCGCGGGCCAGATCAGTGTCACGTGCCCACCCATCTTCTGGGAGTGGGATCAGTCCCACCCAGCAACGTAGACCAGACTGACAGGGTGGTGGTTCCCCAAGAGAATCAAGGTTCTGTGATGACAAGAAGGATGAATCCTGAGGGGTGAGCAAAGAAGATGGCCATCGACTGCTCATGTGGAGAGCTCCCCAGGGACTACAGCACTTCGCTGAACCCCATTTGTCTCTGCAGATCACCCTCCTATAAATTATGCCTGTGATATCACTCTGTGGGCATGCAGCTGTCCCCACAGCCGTGAGCCTCACTCTGTCCATTTCGATACCGTTGCTCTCAGAGTCTTAGAGATGCCTTGCCCCAACAATGCATACCTATGTCCACACAAGTAAGCTTCTGAATTTCTGCCTCAGGATCGGGGAGGGCAGACAAAGGAAGAGCAGAGGGAAGAATACATACGAGGAGCTCCACTATGGAGCTATGGCCACATACATACGTACTAGGACCTATGACCACTAAGTTGGGGGTCTGTACAAAAGTGACTGCCAAGTAGGAGAATTATTGGCCCAGAGGTGAGTCAAAGGTGTGGAAATTACTCATCACTCATTCATAGGGATGACCCTAGACACCAACCTGTGTACCACCTTGCACGTGTGGGACAACCAGGCACTGTGCTAATTTTATTTCCATTTTATTTATTTTCTCCATGATGGCTATCTGAGCCCATTGGATCAGGATCTTCCGGGGCCATTTCACACCTGCCTGGCACAGCCCTAGCACAGCTCCAAGCATGGAGACCCTTGGGAAGTATAAAACAGGAAAGGTCTGGAGTCAGTTGGGAACAATGCATAGTGTGCCAGAGAAATGCTTACATAAGCTCATGGAAGGCATTCGACAAAATGAGGAAGCCCCAGTGGGAGCACTGGTCCTAGGCTCTAGGCCCACCCAAGCAGCCAGGGACCTGGTGGGACTGTGTTGCAATAGCCAGCAGTGGGCTTTGAGATTGAACCAGTTTGGGCTTGTAGTAGGTGCTCAATAAATACTGTAATTCCTGTGCTTAGTTTTAGCACCACCTGCTGTGTATCTCAGGCATGTTTATGGAACATTTGATTAAAAACAGGTGGCTGTCTGTGCTCTCAGATCTTGTGCATCTCTCCTTTCCAGTCCACCTCCCACCAGCCCTGCTGTACCATCAGGAGTTTCAGAGAGGAAAGGCAACAGTGGTGCCCAGGCTTAGGAGGGTTTGGCTGGCCATTGTCCCTATGGGTAGAGAAAACCTGATGATTTTCCATTTGGATTACATACCATGAGTCTTGAAGTATCCCCATTTGCTTTTTGGACATTCTGATGAACATGAGCTTCTCATCTCTGATAGAAGTGTGCGGTCCATTCC